TTTATCATCTTTCAGCAACTAGCACCCATGTACTAGAGATATGAAGACAAGTGAGAAACTTAGCAATTACATGAGTCTTGCTCACGATGTGTCTCAGAATACAGTATCATTTTGAAGATCAAGACCCAGGAGCAATAAATTGCTGAACAATTTATAAGTGCAAATCTAAATAAAATATGCCTAGTCTTTCTGCTGAAATAAATGTTGTCCTTCTTTTTCAAACTCTAAGCCAAATCCCACCATCTTTTATTTCCCTGGAAACCTCTTTTTAAAACTTCTCAATAGTGCTTTGTGGCCTTAATAGCATATTCTGCATTCTACCTTATATTTTACTTAGATGTTCCTTGAGATGAGAGACTGGGTCTTATAAAATATCCTTGGCATTATCTTCCATAGTGACTTACACATAACGCCTTTAAGGGAAGCTGATGTGATACATTTTTTACACACTTAGACAAGACTTTTATAAATATAATCCATGCTAAAATGTGTACATCATTTGCAAATGAATTATCTAAATTTTACAATTATAAATCTATTTCCTTATTATTTTGAAAAGAAGGAAATAAAATTCAACTATTATCCCACCATCCAGGGACAACCACTGTCAATATCTTATTGTTTTATAAATATAATATATAAATATAGCTTGCTTGTATTGTTCAACCTTATCAAAATAAGGAATGTTGGATAATACAAATTAACTCCAAATAAACACTGTACAAATGGTGCCATAATAATAATAATAATGGTGTGTGTATATTTACCATGTACCAGACATGTGCTTTTTATACATAATTGACTATATGCTTTACATATGGTAGAACAGATTTAATGCTCACAATAATTCTATGGTGTAAATTCAGTTATTATCAGTACCATTTACAGATGGGAAAACCAAGAGATATTCAGTTAGACAATGGGGGGCAATGAAGCCAAGATTCAAAGCTACACAGCTTTCTTCCAGAGTCTATACTCTAAGTGCAAACTCTATCAGTTCTCTCCACATGATACATTGAATTACAAACTTAACTTTCAGTAATAAAGTAAAAGTGTGGGTAATAAAGCAAATGGATTATTGTCAACTAACTGGGCAGTTAAAAAGTTACTATATTATTAAAGATGGTAAGTAAAAATACACCTTTTTAGTATTATGGGAGTATAAGTATTACTATCAAAATATAATGCAGAAAGTTTATTTTTTACCTTATTAATAACTTGATGATAATCACTTACCTGTACTTAGTGTCATGACTTAAATTTTCATTCAAAAGTTCTCTTTCATAAGTTGTCACAAAGCTTGGAAAATTACATTGGTACTAGATATATAAAAAGAAGATTGTACTGTTACTAATAAATACTGTTTCCTATTGTATTTGGAATTTGAGTTTTCCAAATAACAAATATTTAATTGGCAAAATGCAACTTTGAGGATTTTGCTGTAGTACTGAAAATTTGCATATGAAAATTTGAAAGAAAGTAATCTAAGATTCAAGATACTGTACAAACCATTTTATTGTGAAGAGCAGTAGTTCATTTATTCTTTGGAAATAAATCAGAAATGATATTTTAAGCAAGATGAAAATAAAGCAATCTATTCAAAATTTAGCAACTTAAGCTTAAATGCACACAGAGTTACATATTATATTTCTGGAGCTGAACTTAGTTCAGGGACATAAAAATGTTAAACAAAGCTAAAATAATTTGCTGAGCCTAGAAAACAATAATTGCTGATTGTTTTTAGTAAGCTATAAAAGAGAGTTGTTTTATATGATTTAAAATAACAAATATTCCAATAGCTTGAATGGGAAGGGAATTTGTGCACTTTCAGAAACTAATCAAAGAAAACATCACGAAGTACTGCTCTCAAAAGAGTTCCTTGGCATTTCAAACAGAATTTAAACAGGGTTCTCTTCTCATTGAGTAATTCGAAGTCTTGCCACAAGCCAATGGGAAAATATTAAAAGTCACAAAGAACGAAACTCTATAAATGCTAGGTTTTATTCTGTAATTAAATAAAATGTGAGGCCAAGTATGTTTCAAAACTTTTTTCAGTTGAAGTTCAATTTGTAACAACACTGACCCCTAGTGGTTGTACAATTTATATTATACTGCTTCCAAGAAAATTAATTCAACTCAAGTCTGTAATTCTAACTGTATCTAGTGAAATGTTGAACTAAACCAATGACATTTGATGACATCTCCAAAAGCTAACATTTTTCTTTACTATGAATAGAAGTGGCTAAATGCCCTGAATAAGTAAAGAGGGTTAGGACTGAAGTTTTCTGGTTTTTGCAATTTATCCTAATAGCTCATCAGAGGGTAACATTCATTGAACACTTCAATATTCCAGACCCTGTTGTAAGCACTTTGTATACATTTGTTTCATTTATTACTTAAAATAACCATATAAAATATGTAGTACTGCTATCCCATATTATAAATAAGGAAAGAGGCTTAATAACTTGTGCGAAATTGTTTGAGAGTAAGAGAACAGGGATAATCTGATCCCAGAGGCCGCACTCTTATCTGCTTTCTTATATTTTCCCATGGGAATAAATTTATTCTTTTCTCTAGCTATTTTTTTTGTATTATGAGCCCTATTGCTTTTCTCTTTACTTACTAAGAGTCATATTTATGTGTTGAATCACAAGTCTAAGTATAGGATATATTCATTGAGAACTGTGTGATGAATCCCATGTAACTATCACCTAGCATAAAAAATGATCAATTTCTAGCCCAAATTCTTCAAATATACCTCTAACATATCTCCCTCCATTCCTCAGATGTTGATGGAGCATCATTTTATCAAAAAATTACTTTAGGTTTCCCCTAAAAGATAAAAATGCTTTTATTTTTAAAGCATAAGCACAGCATCACTATGACATCTAAAAAATGAACATTAATCCATTGAGTATTTAAATATAATTCAAATTTCCCAGCTATCTCCTAAAGTTATAATTTTATTTTTGTTTTTTCTTTATAGTTTGTTTGTTTGATTTGGGCTAGTTTTGTCTTCTCACTTGATATAAAATGTCCTATGGCCTGAGTATTAGCTTCTTTTTCTCTCATATTTTTTCTAATTGGGTATAAATTTTCCTGAAGCAAGTTCCCCAATGGCTGTAATCTTTTGATTGCTTTCAGCATTATTTTTCATTTAAAGTGAAAGTTTGCCACTAGGTGGCAGTGCATTACTTAGGGTTTCATTCCAGCTTATAAACAGACACAAAGATGAATTTGTTGGTACTGGTTACTCCAGTGTTCAATTCTATCATGCTTTTTCCTCATGGAAATGACAGTAGAGTTGAGCTTACTCAATTTCTTAACAGTTCTGGAAATAAAATTAACCTATCTTTATGCTGATACCTCTCTCTTCCTCTCTCTCTCCATAGAGGTGCATGATTCTTTCTCAAAAGCCAATGTTGTATCTATTTATGTAATTTAAATGAAAAGGTAGTATAAAGTATATATGTGGCATGCTCCCCATAAGCAGTAAATTATACCCACACACATATATACTTACATACGCATATACAGTGATATTAAAATGTAAGTTGGGGCACCTATGTTTAGATTACTTCAGACTTTTAGTAAACCAAATGTTAAATAAAATAAAATATAAAATGAATAATTTGACCAAGTACTACAGAGATTTGTGAAATATTTCTTAATTGACCTTTTAGGGACAAATAGAGAAAAGGTCACAGAATGTCAAAGGTCATAGGCTGAATGCATTTGTTGTCAAGGTTTTCAGAATATAAAATTGCTATTAAGAATAATAAAAAGAAAAATCTGACTTTTTCAAGTGAGATGATTCCACTATCTACTTTACAGAGTGTTCTGAGGATAAACTAAACAATTTTGTGTGAAAATATTTTGTAAAGTAAAAAAAAAAAAAAAGTTTACACATACATGTGCTCACATACACACACACACATCTAGTTTTGGTTTTTGTTTTTGTTTTTCATTCTGGCGACTTCTAATCCACTTTAATTACAATTTATTTACAATTAAAATAACTACACACCTCTTTTTTTTAAGAGCCAATGAGAATTTTACAGATTCAAATACATATCCTTAGATGTAAGAATCTGTAAAAAAATTTTCTTTCCCAAGGCAAGATCCTTAAAGAGCAGCACCCATTCAAATTTAGCAACAGTTTTCCAAATCTTCCCCTTAGATCTTTAAGTCATTTGCTGCTTCCATGTGCCAGAGGACATTCTCAGTTGGGAGGAATTAAGACACCAGTTAAAGGGTTAGGACATCAATTGAATGTTTTCCCGCCAGGACTTCATTGCCAGCAACCCCCCTCAATTCTCTTTGGGCATGAGTTTAATAATGCAGGGGGTTGAAAAATATTTCTCCATCTTGTAAAAAATGGAGACCCTGGATTGTGTATGGATATATGCATATACACAGCTCTTAGCATTCACCAACCTAAACTAGTAGCAAATCAAAAGCACTTAAGACAGTAACCTGTATATCCAGTAAGACAGCAACTTGTGTGCATTTCCTTGACGTACTCTTTCAACACATACTTTGCATTTTAACAGTAATTACAATAATGAACCTCTTTGAAAAATTGTTATGTGTAACAAATGGCCAATTTATTATATTATTCCAAGTGTTAGACTAAATCAGTGTGACTTTTCTCATCTAAATTAGAATATTCTCAATGACCTAGGAAGATGTAACAGAACTACACTGGTCAGCCAAATGAAGTCTTAGTATTTTATTCTGATCTCTAGCATTCCAATGCAAGTACTAGTTCTTTAAATGTGCTACTATCATAATATTTTTAAGTACATGAGCCTTAGAAAGAGAGATATCTTATCCATCCAACATCAAAATTAGTGCTTCACATGTCCTGGAGTGGGAGATGCACAGGAAATTGCCTGGTAGAGAGCACACAAAATCCATATAAAGCAAACAAAACAAAACACAAGTCCATTGACTCCATGTCAAGAACATAACGAAATGTTTTACATTGGTCCTCCTTTTCATCGGTTCTTTTTGAGGCAGAGAAGTCTCCTGAATGGCTGCTGGAATTTCGAATTACTGAAGATTATTATAACGGAATGGCCGGAGGGATAGGCTGCCATTATGTCCTTCAGCACAAAGTAGAACTGAGTTCCGTGGGGAGCTACGAATGTCATATTTGCCATGAAGGCAGCGAAATAAGAAATAAAGAAGAGAAAGAATGTTAGCACTGTTCTTAAGGCGTTTATGTGGACTTCCGTGCTGGCGCTTCTGGCAGCATGAGGTCCGTTTTGCATCCGATGAGTGTGCTTGTAGAGAGACACAAGCAGCATAAAAGTGCACATCACAAACACGCCTAGAGGAAATAGCAGTGACAAGTTCACAAGAAGCACGTCATTGATTTGCTTTATCTTGACTTTAGACGTCCTGAGTGTGGCATTCCCGGGGACACCAACCTCCAAGTTTTTAGGGTAGTCTACCTCGATACACAGAGCTGCCATGCTCAGCGAGGCCAGCAGGCTCCCCAGGAGCAGCCAAGGCATTAACTTTGCGAGCCTGAATTTCAGCCAAAGAAAACAGGGCTGGGTGAAGCCTATTAACTTGAAGCAGTAAAATACAGAAAGGCAGGTGGCAAACCAGAGACTGACAGAGCTAAAAAACATCCAGAGGAACATTATCTCTGCACCATAAATTGTTTCCTCATAAAGGAGTGGAAAGAACACAGAGAAAAAACTTTGTACCATTAACACCATAAGTAGACCAAATCTAGACATCCCAATACATATTAAAGTGAGTTGCATTGGCGCTAGCTCTCTGCTTTTGATCAATTCTTTACAGCCGATGACGATCAGAAATCCATTTACTGTAATCCCTGTAATAAATTCTGCTGCCATGATGATAGCATGAGGAATAGCTGATAAGGAGGAGGCCATGTCTCCTACCACAAATCTTAGCTTTTCCTTGTGGATGGTGTTACATACCTCCTCCAGGGGATCTTGCAGATGGGGACATATACTGAGAAAGCCAATCTCCTGCCAACTCCTGGATCATAAGTAGAGTCTTACACTGGACATTTCCCCTGAGGTAGAACATCAGAGGGAGACTTTTTGAATCTGAGGCCCTTAAAGTGAACTATGGGGATGAAATGCAAATCCAAAGATTTGAATGATGGTTAGGTCTTCTGATTACATCCTAGGAAAGATTGCCACATTGTTATGATTCAGTTCTCACTCTTAGTCAGTTTTGCTAAAAATATGATTATAAATGTTTTACTTAGTTTACTATTATTTTTTTCCTTTTATTTTTTTTTTCCCTAATGGCAAAGGCTATATCCTTGGGACAGACAACTATTTCCTGTTATTGCCACAAGTATCCAAACTCAGTACACTTTTTTCCTGAAAATAATTCCAAGAGCCTGGCTGGGCGTGGCTCAGCAGTTAAGCATTGACCTAGGATCCAGGAGATCACAGTTCGATTCCCAGTCAGGGCACATACTCGGATTGCGGGCTCGATTCCCAGTCGGGGGCATGCAGGAGGCAGCTGATCAATGAGGACTCTCTCATCATTGATGTTTCTATCTCTCTCTTTCCCTCTCCCTTCCTCACTCTGAAATCAATAAATACATATTTAAAGTAATAATAATTCCAAGATACTTTAATAAAATTTCTCCTTTCCCCCTTTCAAGCCTCACCAAAGATAATTTCTTCTCCAAACTTGAAAATCATTTTCTAGGAACTAAGTTTGTATAAGAATCTTTCATTCCCCTAAGAGATCTTCTATAATTTTAAAGCCCTTTTGATATAATTCTGATCTGAGAATCAGCAAACCAGTGATGAAAGTAGTGCATAATTAATCCCCATGCTGACACTATCTAATGCTCATGCTGAAGAGCATCATATCAAAAGGTAGATGGTACAGAAACTTCTAACCACCAGCAGAGGGCACAATTACCTATGTGTTACAATGAGATTACTCTACTTCAAAGAAATGTCCACATAACCTTGATGAACTTTAGTCACATCATAGGTAAAATGTAAATAAATCATTACTGCTTCATAAATAAGATATGGTGCTCAATGTGCTTAGCTCAGTGGCAAGGTCACACTAAGCATGCAACAAATGTTAACTATTAATATTATTAAATGTCTGTCTTAATACTGTGTTTACCCCAGCAAGAAAATAATGACTCTATTTAGAAATATTTTCAACAGTTTAAATACTTTCAATAAGAAATAAGATTGGAAGAGTATTGAAAATAGAAAAAAGCAAAGAATTTGACTTGCCACCCACTGTTCATGGTTCTTAAAGCCTCCCAGAATCATCCATAGAGTGTATATTCACTAGCCCATAAAAAACAATGTCAGTGCTCCCTATGTGACATTTCCCTGCCAGACTTATCACCCTCCCACTCATCTTCTACACATCACAGCTAACCAACATGCAGCAAGATTTATCCCATCTCTAGCTCTTCTAAAATGCTTGTTTTGAGATCTGCATATCAGTTTTGTCTTTCGTTTCTGGGCTTACAATCTTCCTTATCTATAAAACATGACTTTGCCCAGTGAGTGGACCTTTCCCTCAAGGCCTCCAGGAAGCTATTCCCATTCTAGGTAAAGGTAAAGAAGTTTCATCTCAAACTCCATTCCAAACTCAAGCTTCATTCCAAACTCTATAGACCAGTGTCATGATCCTGAGGTGAGGGAAAAGAAAATGGGATTTGGACAGTTTACAGCTTAGTGTTCCAAACTACCTCTCTGAGACTAGGTTATATATAAATTGAATGATGGCATTTAAAAGGATTTGAAAACTGAGTTTTCAAATACTGAAGACCACTACAGATCCTGGTTCTTAGTTAAAATAAAACTTCATTTAATCATAGTGTTTCATTTTTCAAAATATTCTGTTTTAATTAATATTATGTTAGATTGTGTTTCTCTGAATGAGCTTGTTAAATTAAAGATGCTTAAACAAATGATGGACAATAACTTAGCATATACATAGCCAGCCAGTATATATATAAGATTTTTAATTGATGTGTGTGAGATAGAGAGATCAATTTGTTGTTTCACTTATTTACGCATTCATTGGTTGCTTCTTGTGTGTGCCCTGACTAGGGATCGAACCCAAAACATTAAAGCATTTCGGGATGATGCTTTAACTAAATGAGCTACCCACCCAGGGCCTCCAGACAGTGTATATTTACATGACACATTGTTAATTGTGTAATATTAGACCAAAAATCTTGGAACGTATGCTGACCATTAGGGTAATATTTTTATTATGAGAAATGTTCACCACTTTTGCCTATACTTTTGTAAAGAATATATGAATATGTCCAAAATATGTATATCCTATTCCAGCATAGCAATATGGATTTTTTAATATTTCAAATATCTTTACCATGATACCCAGTACTTGAGGAGATCACAGTCATATTAAATTCTTAATTCCCCATTATTCCTTTTCTATAGTCCATTCTCTCAATTTTCTATGATAAGCTATGGCATTAAAAGATGGACCAATATATAAAACTCTTAATAGCCAAAAAATTAACAAATTAATTGTAATCAAGGTTAATTTCTCTAAAGATGGTGGTGGACTGAGTGGAAGCTACACTGACACTCTCCCGGGGCCAAACTGGAATTACAACTAAAATATAGAAAAACCATCCTGAATAATCAACTGCAACTGAGAACAAGCTGAAGAGCACCCTCATAACCAAGGAGGAAAAGTGGAGACCACATAGAGACTGGTAGGAAGTGTGTAGGTACAAGAGGGCTGGCTGGGCTCCACAGGCAGCAGCTGAGGATCAGATCAGCAAATTAGAAGTCAGGGTAGAAAAAAATCACTCAATCAGAGATCCAAAAAGAAAAAACAATTGAAAAACAGGAGGACAGTCTAAGGGAGCTGTGGGACAACATGAAATGTAACAATATTCGCCTCATAGGAGTGACAGAGGAGGTAGAAAGTAAGCAAGAGTTAGAGAACCTGTTTGAAGAAATAATGGCAGAAAACTTCCCTAACCTAGTGAAGTCACACAAGTTCAGGAGGCACAGAGTGTTCCAAGCAAGAAGAATCCAAAGAGGCCCATGCCCAGACACATCATAATTAAACTGCCAAGAATTCAATACAAAGAGAGAATATTAAAGGCAGCTAGAGGAAAGGAATCTGTTACCTACAAAGGAGCTCCTGTAAGGCTGTCAGCTGACTTCTCATCAAAAATTCTACAGGCCAGAAGGGAATGGCATGAAGTATTCAAGGTAATGCAAAACAAGGATCTGAAACCAAGATTACTCTATCCAGCAAGCCTATCAGTCAAAATAGATGGTGAAATAATGAGCTTCCCAGACAAAAAAGGCTAAAGGAGTTTATCACCACCAAACCAGCATTGCAGGAAATGTTAAAGGAACTGCTGTAATTAGAAGTACAAATAGAAGCATTGCAAGAAATGTTAAAGGGACTGCTGTAATAAGAAGAAAAAATAGAGAGAGAAACATAAGCATAAAGAATCAAAATGGCAATAAATAAGAACCTATCATTAATAAACTTAAGGACTTTAAGGGAGAGAGCAACAGCAATACAGTCATAGTCATGGTCTTTAACACCCCACTGACTTCACTGGATAGATCTTCCAGACAAAAAGTCAACTAATTGATATTTATAGGACATTTCACCCCAAAGCTGCAGAATATACATTCCTCTCAAGTGCACATGGGTCATTCTCAAAGATAGACCACATGTTAGGACACAAAACCAGTCTCTACAAGTTCAAGAAGATTGAAATCAGATCAAGCATCTCAGATCACAATGGCATGAAATTAGAAATCAACTACAGTAAAAACACTCAAAAACCTTCAAACATATGGAGATTAAATAGCATGTTATTAAACAATGAATGGGGTATCAATAAGATCAAGAAAGAAATCAAAAACTTCCTGGAAACAAATGAAAATGAACACACACCAACCCAAAATCTATGGGACACANAATCTATGGGGCACAGTGAAAGCAGTCCTAAGAGGGAAGTTCAAGCACTGCAGGCCTACCTCAAAGAGCAAGAAAAAAATTTAGTAAACTATGTAACCCTACAACTTAAAGAATTAGAAAGCTCCCCTGTGAAGCCATCTGGACCACAGCTTTTGTTTGCTGAAAGTTTTTTTATTACTGCTTCGATTTCAGCAGTTATTAGCTTATGCAGATTTTCCGATTCTTCCTGATTCAGTTTTATATGATCTCAGTCATATGTGAAATTTAATAAACAAAATAGAATGAGGAACAAAATAGATCCAGAGACATAGAAGCATGGAACAGACTGAGGGATCTCAGAGGGAAGGCGGGGGTGGAGGAGTGGGTAGGGAGAGATTAATCAAAGAATTTATATGCATAACCCATGGACACAGACAATAGTGTGGTGAAGTCCTGGTGGGGGGGTGGATGTGGCGTGGAGGGGATCAATGGAGGGGAAAAAACAGGGATATCTGTAATACTTTCAACAATAAAGATAAATTTTAAAAAAGGTTAATTTCTCTGACAATACATTTTATAAAAAGCAATTCTTTTTAAAAATTGAGTATTTATAACATCTACCTCAGAATACACACATGCTATGATATATAAAACCTTAAGAAAATATGAAATCACACAAAACATTTTATAAAGTTATTTTGAATCTCATTTCTTAGATTAAAAATTAATTTGTAAACTGGAATCTATCCCCACTGTCTCCAAATGCTTTAAAAAATTTTGCTGAGTTTCAAACAATCTTGCACTTGTTACATTCATGCAGCTGCAGTTCGCAGCAAGGTCTGTGGATTATATAATTCTCTGTGAGATTTGAATTTATCCAGAACTGATTTCATTCTGAAATCCCTCATTCCAGCTCTCATTTGCCTCCCTAAACACATCAGTTCATTGAAGAGAAAGCTTGAATTTT